CCAGCCTCATTTGATTCCTTCTATTTGCACAAGTCACCTTGGACTGCAGGGAGCTGTTTTGCAAAAGCAGTTTAGTAGGCTTAGATCTCAAATTCATCTTGAGAACATTTTTTTGAGGTAGTAATTTCCTCAGAAGACTCTTGTGTTTTGTTTTGGTTTTTTTTTTTTCTGAGCTACCCGGACTCTTTATTAGAACAATCAGTCATTTTCCTTTGGACCTACAATTTTTTGCCTATGCTGCAGCCACTTTGTGAGTGAGAATGAATATGTCTGTGTAAACACACAGGCACGCGTGTGTATGTGCACGTACATGGGCCAGAATGAATGGATGTGTGTGTGTGAGGGATACCTCAGATTTTTCTTTTCTTATTTTGTGTGAAAATCTCTTTTCTACAGATTTTCCAGGGTTTAAGCATTGCTTGCTGTATAAAAAAACTTTACTGAATTATATACAGTTTGAATGAAATGTTATTTTAAAAACAAAACAATTGTTAAGTGTTCCATAAAGGTTATGTTGAATTTTGGTCAGATGAATATTTGTAAGTAAAAAATATATGCATTTCTGAACCTCAACTTACATAGATTTTCTTTATATAAAAAAAAAAAAGAAAAAGTTGGCTATAGTTGGCCTGATTAACAGGCACTATACATGGTGCTGTGCAAAAATAGTAAGCTAGCATCTTACTGCCGTCAATATTAGCAGGTACAGAGCCTTTTTTCATCCTAATTTAATAAGTTCTCAGGCTTCCAAGTCAGACAGACAGGGAGGAGTAAAGTGAGGCGACAGATTCACCATAGGCTTTTTGAAGCATCAAAGGGAAATATAACTACTGATAGTGAAAGCCCAGCCATGACCCAGATGGGGCTTACCCTTGACAGGAACTAGGGACCGAGAGCCTCCCAATTGCCCTAACTCCTGTCATTGGTATTAGCAATATCTGGCCGGATTTAGAACCAGTCATGGAAACTTGTGCTCAAACTAAAAGTAGGTCATCACTTCCCAGAAACAGAACACCTTGTGCTTCCTGAAACAGCATATATCACTGTGAAACTAAAGAATGTTCTACAGACACACCTGTAGAAGGAAACAAAGAACAGGATAGTTTAGAAAGCTTTCTCTTAGCTGTATTCAGCAAATTTCATATTAGTTGCTCAGGATTGCTCGTTGGTATGCTTTTGTAAAATGAGATTGAAATTTAATAAAAGATGCAACTAAAATCTTTTCCTGCATGAAGCGAAAAGCACTCAAGTTGAGAGAGGGGCAATGGAATCTCCCCAGGATGACTGAAGATGACTTCTTTTTACAGCAAGTACCATTAGCCTTTCTGCACCCAACTTCTGGGTCAGCAGCAAGGTGAACTCAACAGAAGTTGCTCTTGACTGTTTGAAGGTAGAAGCAGCCTGCCCTTTGTCTTTGTTAAAAGAAGGTCAAAGGCGTCACAACCAGGATGCAAGGTCTGTGGTCCAGAAGCTTGTGGTGAGTGTGTGCCACTGATGGAGCCCCAAGCCCACCCACCAGCCACTCCTGATGGGGTTGCTCACACTGCAGCTGCCCTATCACCACCCTGCACTTTCCTTGGAAGATTTAAATGTTTGATTGCAAATGAATGTTTTAAAAATGTATTTAATGCAATTTTTCCTGCTCTCAACATGACTACCCAAGATTCAAGTTACTATTTTTTCAGAACATCACTGATTTTAAAATCTGTCCCAACAGGACTTGGTTTTGTGCAGATATCAGAGTGCTAATGTGAGAAACCCGGTTAAAAGAAAACTTAGTTTATTGGGAAGAAAGCCTTAGGCCCACTCGTTTCTAGTACTGTGAAAATATCCTTGGTTGGCATTTTTAACGCAAAACATTATAGTATTGGTATTAAATAGTACCAGGTAAATATAAAGAAACCAATAATGAATTGCTGAGACAATCTTGAACCCAAATAGCATTAGAGAGCTGAAGGCCCAATGAAATAACACTTTCACACTTAAACTCTGTGGATACATCTTGCCTGTGGGTATAAACAGATGGTCAAATTAAAAATGCTTTACTATAATTAACTTTTCTGAATTGAATGAAGGGAAATGTATTTATTGAAACAAAGCTGTTTGCTGCTTTATGCAGGTGCAGTGTTCAGTCAGCAAGGAAGTGGGAAGAGTGGACATGGTCTTGTGTCTACACCCAAGTTCTTAACTAAGCTTCTCGCTCTAATACTGCATTCTGTTTCTCCTTTTGTGCCCTCATTGTAATCCAAAATTTATGAACTAGAAAAGAATGTCCAGTTTAATAAGTTGCATTTTTTTTTCCTTAAGCACTTTATTCAGAACAATACATGTTCTTCTGGTAGTGTTTGGATAATATGATTTTAACACATGCTAATAAAAGCCAAGAAAAATCGTGGCAACTTCTAAAAAGGAGTCTGTTTTCCAAATGTCTAGAGCATTAGGAAACATCAGAAGATAATGTGTACATACTTTTGGAACCTGTGATTCTTGGTAAATGAAGGGCTGGGAAGTGCTTTGCATTTCAGAGTGGGACCCAGTGCTTTAGGGTAACTGTGGCTCCTAGAGGCATCTGCAGCAGTCTGGGGACCCCACTCTTTTTGGCCTCCTTCTGAAGGCCAGCAGACCTTCACAGGTGGGCACTCCCAGCCACAAGGTATCCCGTCCCCAATGTCATGTCCATCCCCTCCGTCCTCTTCTTAGGTATGCCCCATCTCCACTGCCACCAGCTGCTCAGTGTGCAAGAGCTTGCTATCCCTCTGCAAGGACACACAGTTGCTCTTCATCTACCACGCACTGCCACCTTTCCCGTCTCTGAATTGTAGGCACACCTTCTATCTCAAGGCCTCACTGGAAACAAAGCCAAGGACACCTGTACCAGAGTGTGGTGGGAGGATGACAAGGTGGGCAAGAGGGAATAATCATGGTGGGAACCTCTGGGAGGACCCAAGGTAAGGCCAAGAGAGTAGGAGCAGGTCCAAGCAGGCCCCTGTTTCCCATAACTGCCACAGGGAAAACTTGGAAGTGAAGCCTAAGAAAAGAGGAAGGGGGCCTCCCACCCCAGATCTTGCTGGAGGGCTGACAGAAAGGTTCCAATTTCTTGCCACCTGGGATAGGGACTGGTGCTGTCCCCATCCTGCCCCTTCCCTGTTTACTGGCCAGAGAGGCACATGTTTATTTCCAGCATGAGAGAAGGTCTAGGATCTGGCTTTAGGGAAGGCTGAGGGAACCCCCCAAGGTCCACTGAGTGGACTACTAAGCCACCTTTCCTCCTATCTCTGCAGCCCCTGGCTCCTGGCTTTGGCAAGCACACTGCCCTCAGGCTGAGTGGAGGTCCAGAGCCAGTCCTGGAATAAAAGCACCCTCCTTGTCAGAGCCAAGTCTGCCTTCCTTCCTGTCAGGCACTCACACCCAGGAGCCAACGGGTCTTAAAACCAAAAGCGGCACCCATCCTTTACTTCCTTGTTTGCTTCTGTTGTGGGAAACCAGGCCTAGGGTCTCTGCCAATGAGTTCCATCCTCTGGGAGCGGGCTGATATTTGAGCCACTCTCGGGAGCCCCCTTACACCCCATTCCCCTGTTCCTTATGCCATGAAACTTGTGGACTCTTAGAGATGCCCTGCAATGCTGAACCCACAGCATCCCTGAGTCACCAGTAATGGGAGGAAGAGGCATGTCACCATTCCTAACACTCCGGCCCCATCACCTAGTGCCCCACTTGCTTTCCCACTGCCCTGCCCAGCTACTTCATCCATCACTGACACAAGAACACTCTCCCCCTACAGGCTGTTCCCCAATCTCATTTTCCCCTCTCTCCCCTGCTTTGGGAGGCCCTGGTGGCTCCATCTCTCATCTCACCAGTGTTGGAAGATCTTGGCTTCCCAGATTCTGGGGAGATCAGATGGCTGTCAGCTGGGTGCACCCCCTCGAAGTAGCTCATTTAGAGCCACACACATCTGTGGTATGGAAGCCCAGGCATAGGGCTTCTCCAAGTCGTTTGCCACTTCTGAAGTGGGCACAGACCATATGGGCCCTGCTCTTGAGCCCACTCCCAAAGGGAAGAGCACAGCCCCATGGTGGGCTGTGAGTCTGGGGATCTGGAATAGTGCATCCAGCTTCCTGACAGATCCTGTCAGTGAGGGCTTTGTCATACACATTGAGATCCGGTACAGGTTCCGATGAGCACTGTGGACATGTGTGTTTCCATCCAGGGGTGACACAAGGTCCTGGCAAACACAGTGGCCTTAAACAGTAGGGCCTATTGAAGGTCACCTGCCTTGGTTCCCAACTCTGGGGACTGACTTATCCATGTATCCCCAGAGCCAGCTCAGGGCCTAGCACAGACTGTCTTGTGCTAGGCTGACGAAGTGTGATGCACCCACGAAGACGTCCTCTGGGAGCTAACTGCCCATTTAAAGAACTTCAAGTCATGGACAAAACCAGCAAGGAGGAAGACGCTGGCATTTGCTTCCTAGTATAGAAGAACATGGCCTCCTCAGGAAAAAGTATGCCTGCACTTGGCAAATTTACAAATAAAGTGGTTAGAGGGGGTGGCATTGTGTGCCAATAATTTCCAAGTGGTCACAATAGCTACTTTTTACTGAAATCCTGTGTCCCTCAAGGGGAGAACTGCAGAGGGATGGCTAAGCCAGGCAATTCAGTGAGAGCTGAAGGCAACCTGGCCCCACTAGGAGCTCTCAGCTTTTAAATTTAGGTGTCACCCAGAATCAGAAACCAGAGAAATGGGGGAGGGATGCGTCAAGAAAATTAGATGAACCCTGTTTCCAAATTTGACGTCTAAGCATTGCTTTATGAACATGCCTTGGTAATGGAGAACTGCAGATGGGAAAATCTGGCAGCATTAAATGACTGTTGGTGTGACTTGGGCAGGCAGCATGAGGAAGCATTTGGAGCCTATTTATATCTGCCTCGGCATCAGGGTGCCTGAAAGTGTCATAGCCAATCTTGCACTGTTTTCAAGTTCCTGGTTACCAAATTAAGTTCTAAAATTGTTTAATTCATAAGGTAGATTTATTGTTGGGGAAACACCATCTCATATAACCCAGTATCCTCTGAGATGACACTATATCTCACAACAGGATGTAATAACTGATGTTCAATTATTTTGTAAAATCCCAAAGATAGAAAAAAAACAAAACAAAACTGTGTTCTACATACTGTTTAATAAGGCAGAAAAGTATATACTATTCTCTTTCTTTACTTTTTTTTTTTTTTTTTTTTTTTTTAATTAAGACAGAGTCTCACTCTGTCACCCAGGCTGGAGTGCAGTGGCATGATCTCGGCTCACTTCAACCTTCACCTCCCCGGTTCAAGCGATTCTCATGCCTAAGCCACCCAAGTAGCTGGGATTACAGGCGCACGCCACCACGCCTGGCTAATTTTTTGTATTTTTAGTAGGGACAGGGTTTCACCATGTAGGGCAGGCTGGTCTCGAACTCCTGACCTTAAGTGACCCACCTGCCTCGGCCTCCCAAAGTGCTGGAATTACAGGCGTGAGCCACTACGCCCAGCCGTATTATTTCCATTGTCTACAAAAGACAGCTAAACGAAAAAGTATTGGTACTCAAAAGAGTAAGTTCCGATTCTGGAGGTCCGTTTTGTGCAGTAGACCCCTGGTCACGTGCTCCGGAAGAGCAGCACAGCCATCTCAATCCACATCCTCGGGAAAGCAAAGCGCCTCAGTGGGCCCCTCTGTTGCTTCAGCCTCACCGCCTGTGGGATGACAGATGTTCGGTAGGACTCCTGAAACAGCCCTGTCCCAGACCTTCTGTCCCACCCACCATCCACAAAGAAATGGGAAGTTAAAGGTCAGAGCAGGAGAGCCAGCAAAGAAGTCCTGATATGTGTTAGGGACCAGGAATTAAACAGAATGGATAACATTGAGCATTTAATTCATGTCATATGCCAGACCAAGAGCTTTACATCCTGTCTTTCATCTTCACAACAGCTCTATGATGAAGATTTTTATTATGAAGTTAGTTGTGGTTATGACGAGTCTATCATTATCTCCATTTAACAGATGAGGAAACTGAGGCCCAGAAAAGGTAAGTAACCTTTCAGAGGCTCTTCAGCTGGGGAATAGTGGAGCCAGAATTCAAACCCGGGATTGTCTGTCACCTTGACTCCTGCGTTTTTTTAGCAGGAATAGTGCTAAGTACAATGGAGGCATATGCAGCTCCCCAAAGCTGAGAAAGTGTGACACATCAGAATAAATGGGCAGAACAGCACCCCAGCCAGGCTGCTTCAGTGTCCAAAGGAGGCTGTGCACTTATTCCCAGGGTGTGGTCTGCAGGTAACCCCTTTTCTCATCACCTGAGGCCAAAACGTCAGTCTCATGATCTTCCAGCACTCCCAACAGCCCAGTGAGAACTTCCCAGCCACCTGCCCCAGACTTGGCTCTGAGTTACAGCTATTTGCTTCTAATCACCACCCCCTATTCCCAAAAGCTTGAAGGTGCCCCACAACCCTGGACACATAAGGAAATGCATCATGGACTCTCTGAGGGCAGGTCCCAGAGGAAAGCTGGCCTGGAGTGTGTCAGTGGGTCTCTGATCCACATAGAGCCACACTTCCCAAGATTTCTTGGCTCCCCAACCTCTGGCATGCTCAGCTTGTTCCTCAGCTGGCAGTGGGAATAATTCTGCTTCACAGGGCAGTGGCAAGTCCACCCATTTTGACTTGGCTGCATTTCAGATCTTTTTTTTTTTTTTTTTTTTTTTTTTGAGACGGAGTCTCGCTCTGTCGCCCAGGCTAGAGTGCAGTGGCCGGATCTCAGCTCACTGCAAGCTCCGCCTCCCGGGTTCACGCCATTCTCCTGCCTCAGCCTCCCGAGTAGCTGGGACTACAGGCACCCACCACCTCGCCCGGCTATTTTTTTGTATTTTTTTAGTAGAGACGGGGTTTCACCGTGTTTGCCAGGATGGTCTCGATCTCCTGACCTCGTGATCCACCCGTCTCGGCCTCCCAAAGTGCTGGGATTACAGGCTTGAGCCACCGCGCCCGGCCTGCATTTCAGATCTTGAGACCATGAGCATATCAAACATTTAGGCAAATATATTGATTAAAACCCAAACATTTAGACACACATGGGTTATTTCCATTTCAGATGGAATGTGGCCTTCTCCCAAGAATCCAACCCTCGCATCCTTTGGGTTTTCCCAAGGTAATCATCTCCCAGCCCCTTCCACTCATTTCATGCTCAAACCGGAGACATGTAATGCAGCAGTTTCACTGGTTGTAGGGTAGACTTAGTCACATGGGCTCTGGGCCCCTTGGGGCTCTCACCCAGATTTGGAGGTGGCGATGCCACCTGGCATACCTTTCCCAGAGGCTGTCTGAATGCTTCCCATGAAGGGAAGGTCCTAAACAATGGTCATGCACTGAAATGTGGGGCTGAGGGAGATGAGGTCACAGCAAGCTCCAGGTTGAAGCCCCTTCTGTATAGCTGCATTTCTCAGTGAGCCCTTAGGGGCTTAACATGGAGTGTGTGGAGTGTGTCTGGCCTCTGACTGGCTTTGAGGTAGGCTTCCAGAAAGTTAATGAAATTTTCCCAATGGTTTCCACAGGGAAATGTAAATAAAGTACTTTTTGCAACAAAAATATGACTCCAAAATAAGCAGCAAAAAATTTAATGAGGTATTAAAAAGCAACACTGTTACTCTATGAGGACACAAAATAGTTTAGTATTGATACTCAAGTTATATAATGACCTGTATTTTCAGAACAGGACTGTATTAGTTTGAAGACTTAGTTACCAAAAATTATCAATCCCCCACACACTCAAGCACATAGTCACAAATTCCTTGTATCTATGATTTAATAAAGATCAAATCTCCTTGATGACTTACCCTGAGGGGCTTCTGTATCTTTGTCTGAAAATTTCAAACTGGGGAAGAGCAATGCCAGTTCTCTGTCAGCATCTTCTCTGTCCTGGCTTCCGTGGACGGCATTAAAGGGCATTTCTGTGCCATACTGAGCTCGGAGACTGGGAACATTGGCAAAATGTAAAAGAAACAATTGTTTCATTTGAAAAGAAATGTTTTGCTTTCTGGCAACATGATCACCGGCTACCAATCAGCACCCTGCATTCCTGTGAAATTGATTTCTCTGCAGGAAATACCAAGAACAGCAGCAATAATAATAGTAGCTGGCATTTATTTGGTCATGGCAGTGTGCTGGGCACATAGTTGGGTACTTTACTTACACGATCCCATTGCATTTTCGCCACAGCTCTATGAGACATACTGCTGTTACCCCCATTTTAAAGATGCCTGATTAATAGTGTAAGCACAGGAGCTGCCATTTTGTCGATATTACTGCCAAAGGCTAGCACCATACCAAGTGCTTGATAAAGTTTTGCATAGTTATCCTTGCAATAACTTCGTAAGATAATATTGCTATGATTTCCTGTGTGTCAAGCACTACTCTCGGTGAGGTATATACATGTATGTATACACACTCGTGATAGATGCTTATATGCCCATTTTACAGTTGAGAGAACTCAGGCTAAGAAGAGACTTGCAGTGACCTAGGATCTGAATCCTGAGCTGGCTTTCACTAGCCCAGCCTGCCTCATATATAAATGTTCCTGGTCCCCTACAGCTACAAAGTACAACTGCAGTTCCTTGGCCTCTCTAATTTCTTTCCTGTTGTCTGCGCCTGTCAGCTTCAAAGGCCAAGGTACAGTGGATTTGGATTGCTGGCGCCAGGCTAAATATTCCCGTGTCCAAGGAGCAGGCCAAGGAAGCCCAGTGCAATGTGCAGAACAGGGTACTCAGACTCCTGAGGGCCTCAGGACACCCTGATGGGGAGTAGGTTTGGATGGCATTGAGACTACAGTGCAGATTCTCAGGCCCTGGCCCAGAGTCTCTGACAGGCTTGAATGGGACCCTAGAATCTGTATTTTCCTGGGAGTACCCTATGGAATCCTCTGGCTGCAAAGAGAAAACAGCGACTGAGGAATGAATCTAGAAGCAGCCTTCAGAAGAGGACAGAGCAGGGGAGGAGGCACCTCACAGGACGCACTCAGTACAGGCTGGGCCAGAGGGGGAAGATGTCAGGGTCTCCCCAGATATATGAGAGAGGCTCTTGGCCATCAGAGAGTCCTCTGTGTTACCCACGATTCTAGGCTGAACACTTTGAGTGGGACTCAGCCTCCTGGAATGCAGGTTTTAAGATGGATGAAAGGACCACAGCTGGTGACGTCACCTTTCAGGCTGCTCCCTCCTGGCCACATTGGGGTCACAGGGGCCCATGACGGTTCGCCAGCTAGTGACCACGTCTTCGAAGCCCTCAGTCCTGGTAAGGATCAGGAGGTGGCTTGGTCCACTGCACATGTGATGTACCAGCTTCTCAAATGCCTCCTAGGCACAGGGAGGGAAAACAGTGACCCAGGGCAGGAGCTGCTAGGGCCTGCAGAGGATCAGCAAGCCCATCTCACCCACAGGATGAGAGGGAGTTAGTGGGCAGCCTTGCTACCAGCCAGCATGCCCGTGGCCACTCAGCCACTGCACTCTGTCTCTGCCTGGCCACCTCTGCCTGCTGTGGAGGGTGTCAGGCATGGGTGGTAGTGATGACCAGCCACACTCAGAGCACTCAGAATGACAAGAGCTTTAAGTTGACTCATTTGGGAATAAACATGAGATGATTATATAAGTTAGGCAGAGACATTTAAAAGACCATATCTATGGAAATCATATGATGCTGGATAACCAAGGGGTGAAATATAGTTGGTACTTTTTTTTTTTCATGCAATGCCTCACAACCCTTCCTCCTCAAGTAACAGTACTCTGGTTTTCCTTCGGGGAACAGCCCTTATCCATTTCATTTGGTCCAAATTTGACTGACAACCATGATGCCTATTCCCCAACACACACACACACACACACACACACACACACACACACACACACACCCAACATGAGAGGAAGGGCTATGGCCCAAGCTAAGCCAAGAAGACTCCCAAGCAGGTGGGTCATCAGCAGAAGCAAATGGAAGGTGGTTAGATCTGAGTTATCCAATGGCAGTGTCTAAAGTGATATGCTCGAGGCTTTGCTTCTGAGATCCTTCGTTTCCTTTTGTCTCCAAGCCCTTCTCATTAAACTCTCCCTTCAACTATGGGTTATCCTTCTAATAAATTCCTTAATTCATTTCTTAGAGTCAAAACCTTTTCTTTGCAACCAAAAAACTTTACCTGATACAGCCTATTGTCATTCTGAGAACAAATTCATGACCCACTTGCTGTTCCTATTTTGGCTCTTCATAATTTCTTCTGTCACAAACTAATATCAATCTACAAGCATAATGTTGGAGGAAGAGAAACGACAGTGTGTTGAACTTGTGGAAGTAGATGAGCTGACCTCTCCAGCTCTGTGTTGGTAGAAAAGTCGCATTTCTGCCTCTGTCATGGTTCTGTCTTCATTTGTTAGAATTTCAAACCCAGCTTCCTGAATCTGTAGAATATATATATAAATATTCTGAAAGGGTAAATCAAGCCCAAATTCACATTGATTAATTAATTTAGTTGCAAGGTAAAAAAATAAAGACAGGCAACATTAAAGGCTGTGGAGACACCGATCCCCACATTATCTGTCCCAATCAGATTTAACATTTTCATTTGCTTGAATGGAGTTTGAGCTACAATCTCTTAGAAGTCGTCTTTCTGCACTAAGATATCACTGCCCGGTGCCCCATCCCTGTTTATCCACAAGAGAGGACACAAGGACAGTGGTGCACGTAAGTGTTGTCTCTCTTACCTTCATGATAATCTCATCGGTCTTTCCGTGGGCCACTGCATCTGGTTTAATGATGGCCAAGGTACAGGTCCTGTCTGATGAAACTAAGCCAAAAATGGTGCTGTCAGATGCTGATGTTTGAGGCTCTCGGGAGTCCATCCACAAAAAAACAATGCTACACAAGGCTCCATTGCACCAAGTGCTAGGCACAGGCTTGGGCTCTCAGGGTTCCCTCCCCTGGCCTTAGTCTTGACCCTGCAAACCTGGACTCTGGTGGATGTACCAGTCTGACTCCAGACCTCAACCTCCATCTTGCTGCAAGGAACAGAGACTCAGAGACTGGCTCAATGAACCTGGGCAGGTGGCGGAGGAGGAACATGGGGGAAGGGATTGCTAAAAGACTGCTTGGGACCAGAAATCCAGAAACAACTGAATTGAGTTGGCCTGGGGAGTGGCAAGAAGAGGTATAGGAGAAAGTGAGAGGGGGCCTGGAGCATGGGCAACACAGACCTGGCTGCCCTCATCCCTTCCTGTCACCCTCTCATGATTCCCACCCAGCCTCTACCTGCTGTCTGCCACATGCTCTCCTTTCACTCTACTGGCTCCTGTGGCTCTGCTGCTTTTTCCCTTTCCTGCTATGTAGCTAAAAATGGCTCCTCCAGGCCCTGAGTCTGTGTGATGTTCCGTGACTTCTCAGCTCCAGCACATACTACCAGATTGCAGTTTCAGTAGTCTCTGTCTCCATTCAAGTTCTCCTGAGAGAAGCCAGATTGCCCCACTCATTAGTCTGAGCCAAGGTACCAGCCCTAGCTCACTGGCCAGTCTGCTGATTGACTGCCCTTGAATGAGCATCCACCAGTCCAATTAGCTATGACAATGAAGGAGGTGCCACAAGATCAGAGTCCACTGCTGAGGCCCACAGGAGCTATAAGGAGGTCTGTGTCTAGTCCATGAGCCCACCTCCATTGTCCTCCTGCTTATATAAACTTGTCTTTGGTGAGTTATCTACACTCGACAGAATCATCATTCTCTATCACCTATTTTGTTTCTCAGCTTTTACATTGGTTGTGTTGAAATGAAACAAGACAATATCTACATTTAAAGAGGGCTTTCTACTCTGAAAAATCTCAAAAACATGTATTGCAAAAAGTATAAATCATTTCAAGCAACAAATCTATTATTTCTTTCTGAGATTACTATTTCTAATATATCATGAATATTTAGATTTTAAGATACTTTTACAATAAATTCCATTATAAATTGATTAATGAGATCACCTAAAAGTAGAGGAAGAAGAGAAGAGACCAAAGCAGGGGCCTGGGGTGTTCCAGGTTAAAAGGACAGCACAAGAAAAGAAGCCAATGAAGGAGAAACTGAGGAGAGGCCAGAGACATAGAAGGAAAACAAGAAAAGTCGTCACATCTTAGAAACCGAAAGAGAAGGTTTTGAGAAGGAAGACACTGTGAACATCATCTCATTCTGCAGAAAAATCCCATAAGATATGCACTGGAAACTACCTGTTGGTGCCACCAATGAGCACCATTTCAGGGAGTAGTGAGCGCAGAGGCCAGATTGCAATAGGTCGGGGCACAAATGGAAAGTGAAGGTGGCCTAGAGTGTGGACAAAGGAAGCTTGGCTGTGAATAAGAGGAAGACTAAGGGCAAGGGCAGTATCTTAGGTGGTTTTCTAGGTGGGAGAGACTTGATTTGGGAGGAAATCATGGAGGAGGGAAGAAAGAGGAGATAATACAACAGGGGAGTAACAGATGTCTCCTGCAGAATCACAGTCACTGATTTTCTCTTCACCCTTGAAGTTTTCTTGCTGTCCTAAACTGTGCCTTCTCCCTTGTTAGAATCCAACTCAAACAATTCTTATTCTCCACACATGTAAAAACAGCCTTTCTATTTCAAGCAATAATTTAAAAAATCTTCCTCCTCTTATCAACACAGTTCCTGAGCCTAATTCTGGTTTTCCCTTGTGTCTCGGTTACCACCAAGAGACACCATCCCAGCAACAGCCTTCCTAACTCTTAGCTTTTCTTCATTCTGTCAGGCCAAGTTTTCTCATATGAAAGGTTCAGGAAGTACTGTGATACCCAGGAGTGTAAAGTCTGCAAGTTAATATTTGGGGAAGACAGGAAAGAGGTTGTAGGGCTCTGGGAAGGAAAGGTTTTCTAATGTTTAAGAAAGAGGTGAAAAAAGAGGCTTGAGCTTTTTTAAAAAGTTCAAATAAGGACTAAGGAAATACCAGCATCATTGCTTTCAATTATTGGTGTTGCTTCCCTCCATTTTATTACATGCAGCTTTTTTTGATGCCTGGTAAGTGCCATGAAAGTCACAACTGTTATATTTGAACATAAAGCGCTGTGTAATGGGCCCAAAATGCTGTTAAAGATCAGAAGAGAGATTTGACACAGTATGTTTGAAGTCCAGTGACTGGAGACAAAATATTTTATGGTTAAGCTTCCCAGAATCATTCCAATTTATCTAGCAACAGGCTTCTCAATAGAAACTATATAGGCCAGGAGGCAGTGGAATGACATTTCCAAAATACTGAAAGAAGAAAAAAAAAATGGTCATCCAAGAATACCATACCCAGCAAAGCTATCCCTCAAATATGAAGGCGGGCCAGGCATGGTGGCCCAGCACTTTGGGAGGCTGAGGTGGGCAGATCACCTGATGTCAGGGGTTCAAGACCAGCCTGACCAACAGGGCAAAACCCTGTCTCTACTAAAAATACAAAAAAAAAAAAAAAAAAAAAAAAAAGCCAGGTGTGGCTAAAAGTGGCTCCTCCAGGCCCTGAGTCTGCGTGATGTTCCATGACTTCTCAGCTCCAGCACATACTACCAGATTGCAGTTTCAATAGTCTCTGTCTCCATTCAGGTTCTCCTGAGAGAAGCCAGATTGCCCCACTCATTAGTTTGAGCCAAGGTACCAGCCCTGTCTCTATTAAAAAAAAAAAAAAAAAAAAAAAAAAAAAAAAAAAAAAAAAAGCACGTCTGTAAACCCAGCTACTGGGGAGGCTGAGGCAGCAGGAGAATCACTTGAACCCAGGAGGCAGAGGTTGCAGTGAGCCAACATCATGCCACTGCACTCCAGCCTGGGTGACAGAGTGAAACTCCATCTCAAAAAAAAAAAAAAAAAAAAAGAAAAAAAGAAAAGAAAAAAGAAAAGAAAAAAAGAAGAAGAAGGAATGCCTAAGGAAATCTTTAATCTGAAAGAAAAAAATACTAATATGCAAAAAGAAGACATTTGAGGTATAAAACCCACTGTTGGCCAGGCACAGTGGCTCACGCCTATAATCCCAGCATTTTGGGAGGCCAAGGCAGGTGGATCACTCTAGGCTAGGAGTTCAAGACCAACCTGGCCAACATAGTGAAACCCCATCTCTACTAAAAATACAAAAATTACTAGCTGGGCATGGTGGCACATGCCTGTAATCCCAGCTACCCAGGAGGCTGAGGCATGAGAATCACCTGAGCCCAGGAGGCAGAGGTTGTAGTGAGCTGAAATCGCACCATTGCACTCCAGCCTGGGTGACAGAGTCAGAGTGAGCCAAGATCATGCCACTGCACTCCAGCTTGGGTGTCAGAGCTAGACTGTCTCAAAAAAAAAAAAAAAAAAAAAAAAGCCAGGTGCCGTGACTCATGCCTGTAATCCCAGCACTTTGGGAGGCTGAGGCAGGTGGATCACCTGAGGTCAGGAGTTTGAGACTAGCCTGACCAACATGGAGAAACCCCGTCTCTACTAAAAATACAAAATTAGTCAGGCGTGGTGGTCCATGCCTGTAATCCCAGCTAACTGGGAGGCTGAGGCAGGAGAATCTCTTGAACCCGGGAGGCGGAGGTTGCAATGAGCCAAGACTGTGCTAGCTTGGGCGACAAGAGTGAAACTCCGTTTCAAAGAAAAAAAAATTAAAAACCAAGACCCAACTATATGCTGCCTACAAGAAACCCACTTTACCTATAAAGACACATAGACAGAAAGTGAAGGCATGGAAAAAGATATTCATTGCAAGTGGAAATGAAAAGAGAGCAAGATAAACTATACTTAGATCAGAGAAGGTCATTATATAATGATAAAGGGGTCAATTCATCAAGAGTAACAATTATAAATATCTACCCAACACCAGAACATCCAAGTATATTAAAAAAACATTAATAGATCTAAAGGGAAAGATAGACTGCAATACAGTAATACAATACTGCAATACATAGGGACTTCAACACCCTACTGTTAGTAATGGACAGATCATTCAGACAGAAGACAAACGTCATAGTCAAACTGCACACTAGACCAAACAGACCTAACTGATATTTACAGAAGAGTTCACCCAAGTGCTACAGAAAAGACATTATTTTCATCAGCATGTGCAATATTCTCCAGAATAGAGCAAATTATAAGCCACAAAGCTAGTCACAACAAATTCAAAAAAGCAAAAATCGTATATATCTTTTCTGACCACAATAAAATAAAATTAGAAATCAATAACAAGAGGAACCTCAGAAACTACACAAACACATGAAAATTAAACAACATAATCATGAACAACAAATGCATCAGAGAAAAAATTATAAAGGACAATTTTTAATTTCTTGAAACAAATGAAAATGGAAATACACATCCAAAATCTATGGGATACAGTAAAAAGAGTAATACAGTAAAGGGGAAGGTTGTAGCAATAAATGCTTATATCAAAAAAACATAGGAAGATTTCAAATAACCTAATGATGCACCCAAATGCACTAAAAAAGCAGTAACAAACCAAACCCCCAATTAGTACTAGGAAACAAACAATAAAGATCAGAGCAGAAATAAATGAAATTGAGCCTAAAAAATACAGAAGGTCAATGGAGCAAAAAGTTGATTTTTTGATAAGATAAAATCCATGAACCTTTAGCTGGACTAAGAAAAAGAGATGACCCAAATAAATAAAATCAGAAAGAAAATGGAGACATAACAACTGGAAACTACAGAAATATAACGAATCATTAGACACTGTTATGAACAACTACACACCAACAAATCTGAAAACCTAGAAGAAATAGATAAATTCCTGGATACATGCAATCTACCAAGATGGAACCATGAAGAAATAGAAAACCTCAACAAACCAGTAACAACAAGATCACAACTGTAATAAAAAGTCTTCTGCCAAAGAAAATCTCAGGACCTGATGGCTTCAATTCTAAATTCCACCAAAAATTTAAAGAATAACTGATACCAATTCTACTCAAACTCTTCAAAAAAATTTGAAGAGGAGGGAAAACTTCCAAACTCATTCTGTGAGGCCAGAATTGCCCTGATAGCAAAACCAGACAAGGACACAACAAAATGAGAAAACTAGGCCAATATCCTTGATGGACATAAATGCAAAAGTCCTAAACAAAATACTAACAAACCAACTTCAACAACACATCAAAAAGATCATTCACTATGTGGGATTCATCCCAGGGATGTAAAAAGGGTTCATCATATGTAAAGCAATATATGTGGTTCATCAAATCATTAACAGAACCAAGAACAAAAACTGTATAATAATTCCAATAGATGCTGAAAAACCATTCAATAAAATTTGAATTCCCTTTATGATAAAAAACCTTCAAAACACTGGGAATAGAAGGAACATACCTCAAAACAATAAAATCCATGTATAACCCACAGCAAACATCATAGTGAATGGGGAAAATTTCAAAGCCTTCCCTCAAAGATCTCGAATAAGACAAGGATGGCTGCTTTTACCACGTTAATTCAAAGACCCCACCAAAAAACTGTTAGAACTGATAAATGAAATCAGTAAAGTTGCAGGATACAAAAGCAACATACAAAAACCAGTAGCATATGTATATACCAACAGCAGACAATCTGAAAAAGAAACCAAGAAAGCAATCCCATTTACAATAGCAACAAAGAATATAAAATATGTAGAATTCGATTTAACCAAAGATGTGAAAGCTCTCTACAAGGAAAACTATGATACACTGATAAAAGAAATTGAAGAGGACACACACACACAAATGGAAAGATATTCCATGCCATGCTGATGGATTGGAAGAATTAATATTGTTAAAATGTTAATGGTGCCCAAGGCAATTTACAGATTCAGTGCAATACCTATTGAAATACCAATGACATTCTTCACAGAAATAGAAAATATAATCCTAATATGTATATGGAACCACAGAAGACCCCAAATAACCAAAACCATACTAAGCAAAAATAACAAACCTGGAGGAATCACACGACCTGACTTCAAATTATACTACAAAGCTATAGTGATCAAAACAGCAAAATACTAGCATAAAAACAGACACATAGAATAGCGAACCCAGATGTAAATCCACACATTTATAGCCAGCTCATTTTCAACAAAGGTGCCAAGAACATACAATGCTGAAAGGACATTCTCTACAATAAATGGTGGTGGTTAAACTGAATAACCATATGCAGAAGAATGAAACTACACCCCTATTTCTCACCATATACAAACACAAAATCAAAATAGATTAAAGGCACAATTCTAAGACCTGATACTATGAAACTGTCAGAAGAACATTGGAGAAATGTTCCAGGATATTGGTCTGAGCAAAGGCTTTTTGTGTAAGACCTCAAAAGCATAGGCAACAAAAGCAAAAATAGATAAATGAGATCACATCAAGCAAAGAAGCTTCTGCAAAGCAAAGGAAACAATCAACAAAGTGAAGAGACAACCCACAGAGTGGGAGAAAATATTTGCAAACTATCCCTCCGACAAGGGATTAATAACAAGAATATATAAGGAGCTCAAACAACTCAAAAGCAAAAAGAAAGATAATCTGATTTTTAAATAGGCAAAAGATCTGAGTAGACATTTCTCCAAAAAAAGACATAAAAATGGCCAATGGGTATATGAAAAAGGTGCTCAATATCAGTAATCATCGGGGAAATGCAAATCATAAAATCACAATAAGATTTCATCTCACCCCAGTTAGAATGGGGACTATAAAAAAAAAAAAAAAAAAAAAAAAAGGAGGCTGGGTGCAGTGGCTCACGTCAGTAATCCCAGCACTTTGGGAGGCCAAGGCAGGTGGATCACCTGATGTCAGGAGTTCGAAACCAGCCTGGCCAATGTGCTGAAACCCAGTCTCTACTAAAAATACAAAAATTAGCCAGGTGTAGTGGCGGGTGCCTGTAATCCTAGCTACTCAGGGAGGCTGAGGCACCAGAATCGCTTGAACCTGGGAGGCAGAGGTTGTAGTGAGCCAAGATCGTGCCACTGCACTCCAGCCTGGGCGACAGAGGGAGACTCCATCTCAAAAAAACCAGAACACTAAAAAGAGAATAATGAGACGAGGATGTAGAGAAGGGGGAATGTTCATATACTGCTGGTATGAATGTAAATTAGCACAGCCACTATGGAAAACAGTATGGAGGTTCCTGAAAAAACAAAAATAGAACTACCAGATGATCCAACAATCCCACTACTATGTATATATGCAAAAGAGAGGAAATCAATATATTGAAGAGGTATCTGCACTCCCATGTTAATTGCAGCAATATTCACAATAGCCAAAATATGCAATCGACTTAAGTGCCCATCAATGGATGAATAAAGAAAATGTGGTGTATATACACAAGGGAATATTATTCATTAATTAAAATGATTAAAATCCTGTCATTTGTGGCAACATGGATAGAACTGGAGATCATTATGTTAAGTGAAATAAGCCCCCAAGCAAAGAACAACAAATAGCACATGTTCTTACTCATATGTGGGAACTTAAAAAAATGGATCTCGTGAAGGTAGAGAGTAGATTGGTGATTACCAGAGGCCAGGAAGTGGAGAGAGAGGGATGAAGAGAGGTTGATTAATAGGTACAATCTACAGATAGAAGAAATCAGACCTGGTATTCAAGAGATCAGTAGGGTGACTATAGTTAACATTAATCTATTGTACATGTCAAAATAGCTAGAAGAAAATAATTTGGATATCCATAGCATAAAGAAAAGATAGATATTTAAGGTGATGGATATCCCAATTACCCTGATTTAATTATATGTATGTATCAAATTATCTCATGTACTCTGAAAATATGCACATCTATTATATATCAATTTTTATAAGAAAATTATGAACCATTAAAAAATCTTCTCAGAGTTCAGATTGCTCAATAAACTGAATACTCATCTATTTTAAACACACATCAAATCTGAGTCTGCTTTGCCTTTTTCCCTTGCTCATTGGTTCTGCACTCACCCACGTCCTCATCTTCACCATTGTTCTTTCCATGGGAAACACATTCGTCTTCATCAGAAAGAGCCTCATCTTTAATCTAGTATAAATTGGTCATTAAAAGAAAGTAGTTAGCTAATTAACATTACCACTAACACCTTCAAAAACCTGTAGAGACTAAAAAAAGCAAAGCTCCAAAACACAGAGAAAAAAAATGTCAAAGTTATCAGTCTTGGAAACTTTACAAGACCCTTTTTGGTGGCTGGGTGCTGGTGTGGGGCTGACAGAATTAGAATACAAGAAAAGCCAAGCTTATCTTAAGTTTTAGAGTCTACCTCTTTTCATACGCATTAAGTAGAGATAGTTGATAAGAAGACAAAGAATTGAAATGTAAGTAAATATTAAGAGATTGACTATGCAGTACAGAGAAGCAGTAAAGAGAGATAATATTCCCTTGGAGAAGGCACATGAAAATATTAGCATTTGCAGTTTTCTTTCGGGAGGGAAAATGGCCAGGTTTCTGGGAAAAATATGATTTGATTCTAATCCATTCCATAAAAATGGAGCTTTGCTATTTGGAATTTAATAAGAAAACTTGAACAATGAACATGGAATGGTGTGGAGTCACATTTGCCAGATGCTCAAAGCACCAGGAAATACCTCTTGATTTTCAAAGGCAGCCAATTATTTGAAGAACTGGCAGTCGATGTTATCATGGAAATAATTTATCAAAATCACAAGCTATGCTGATTCTATTTCTCATGTTAATGACAGACCTTAATTTCTAAGTTAAAGAAATGAGCCCTCTGAGTTCACAAGTAAAACCTTCAGGAATATGAGCCAGTGGGTCACTAGGAGAGATTTCACCTCAAGGCTGAGAGGAGCCCAGGATAGCTGACTTCTCCTACGCATCACTCCATTCTGTAACTTGATTTTCATTTCTGAATTCATTGTTAAGAGTTGAAGTGGGAGATGAAAGGGAAATTGATAAAATAAAGTGCTCTGGATGAAAGAGATGGCTTTTATAAGAAGGTTTCAAAATGCACACATATCACCAGGGCACAGTGCTTGAGGAACAGACCCAGGTGAAACTTTTATGAAGCTGTCCACCAACGGCTCCAGGACAGTCGGGTAAGGGGGATGGGGACTGCTGATCTCGCCTACTAGCGCACTTGTGAGTTAGCTGCTTGTAGAAGTGACCCCCAGTTACCACTTTCCGTTCTCTGCCTTCAGCCAGCACTTTCTTTTCGGCCTCCAGCTGGTCTAGGATGGTTTTCTGCAGCAGTGGGGCATTTGCTCCTCTAACCACAGCCACCAGTTCTCCTCCCTAGAATATGTTACAAACAGCATGAAATACTCTTGGCAAATATTAATCTCTTTCAAGAGATGGCGAGAGTGTCTAGGAGTGTGTGTGCCCAAGATCAAGGTCCCTCAACCCCAGGCTCATAGCAGCGTGCTCACTTCTGCTGCCCTCCCTTGGCAGGACGCTCTCAGGTCTGCTTCTAGGATTTTTGTTTGTTTGTTTGAGATGGAGTCTCGCTCTGTCGCCCAGGCTGGGGTGCAGTGGCGCGATCTTGACTCACTGCAAGCTCCGCCTCCCAGGTTCACGCCATTCTCCTGCCTCAGCTTCCCAAATAGCTGGGACTACAGGTGCCCGCCACCATGCCCAGCTAATTTGTTTGTATTTTTAGTAGAGACGGGGTTTCACCGTATTAGCCAGGATGGTTTTGATCTCCTGACCTCATGATGTGTCCATCTCGGCCTCCCAAAGTGCTGGGATTACAGGCGTGAGCCACCACGCCCAGCCAGTCTGCTCCTAGTTTTAAATGATTTCCCTTTTTCTGATCTCTACCTTCTAGGCCATGCCACTCCTTTCAAAGCTTCCTTCAGGGTAACCAGCAGTTCATTAAGGGAGGAACAGTACATAGTAAGTTATGAGTGACTAAGTGTGGCTTACACATGAGTTACTCATTCAACAAATATTATTGAGCACTTACTATACCAAGCACCAAGGCAGAGGCAAAGAATATAAACATTAAACATGAAAAAACATAGCTGCAGCCTTCATGAATGGGGACTAGAATGGGGAGAGGGATGACTGGACATGCCGAAGAAACAATTACAATACTATAAAATAATTGCTGTAAGTAATACGGAAATTTATAAGGTGCTTGGAACTTGGGGCAAGAATTGCCAGCATCATCTGAGATGGTCAGGGAAGGCTTCACAGTCGAGGTGGTATTTGGGATGAACCTGAGTTTCTGCTTTAACTCTTTCAAAAGTCTGTTTGTTTGTTTGTTTGTTTGTTTGATGGAATTTCGCTCTTGTTGCCCAGACTGGAGTTCAATGGCATGATCTCGGCTGACTGCAACCTCTGCCTCCTGGGTTCAAGTGATTCTCCTGCCTCAGCCTCCTAAGTAGCTAGGATTACAGGCACCCGCCACCAGGCCTGGCTAATTTTTATATTTTTAGCAGAGATGGTGTTTCACTATGTTGGCCAGGCTGATCTCAAACTCCTGACCTCAGGTGATCTGCCTGCCTCGGCCTCCCAAAGTGCTGGGATTACAGGTGTGAGCCACCGCGCCTGGCCAAAAGTCTCTATATTTGTACTCACAAAGAAATGAATCTGGAGAGGGAGAAGTTCACATAGAGTGAGTCCTCCTTCCATTTCCATCCCATCCCTTAGTGGACCACCATAGGGTTGAAGATTGTGGCCCATGTTCCCATACAGCCAAGTAAGATTTATGCTTTAATTGCTATGGGCTCAGGCAATTAAGCCATTGTGGTCCCATTTCTACAGCTGAGCTCTGATGTCAAGTGTGTTTGGGGCATGCTCATCTCCGAGCTCCTCCCTGCTTCTCCCTCTTTTCCTCCCAATCATGTTATCTCATGTAAGTTCAGTCTCCCTACTAAAATCCAAAGCTCAAATAATGTTTTATCGTAAGTTTCCAATTTGTAATACTTGCAGTGCTGAGGCCAGGAGGCTGAAGTTTTCAAAATTGAACAACCCTAGCCTGGTGTTCGGAGACCTGGTTGAGTAGATCCTGGTATTCCTGACTCTACAATGAGGGGGCTGGTCTGAGTGAGGAGGAATATCGATCCATTGCCATCAGAGCCTGGCAGGTGGCCTAAACCTGGGAAGCCAAGTGTGAAACAGTGGGCCCTTAGGGGCATGGAGCTGGACCATGGATGTCACACCCAAGGACATCCAAATTATATTTTCAAAACACTGGGCCACTTGACTTTCCTCAATAGTCCGTCTCATTTCTAACTTTCTGTAAACATATCTTCACATTTTATGATTACATAAGGGTGAATGAAGAGCTTGTCTGCCCCATAAAGGAGTATCTATTTTTACTAAAAAGTCCCCTTTATGGAGCAAAGGATAGAAATCTTGAAACCCTGTGCTCTGAGAGTGAAGCCTCCAGTCTAGAGTATTCATGAGCCAAAAAGGAGCATGTACATTTGAGTGACTGGTACGCTCTTCCCGTGTACAGCAAGTCAGGAAGGCGGCCCCAGCACCGTGGCCACCAGGGTGCTGTGTCATCCACCTCCTTGGGCGCAGGGCCCTCAGGCCACCATCCTAGTCAACAGCTTGTATCACCACTTCGACTTGGGGGTGGGGGTGTCTGTATGTAGCCAACATCATAAAAAAAGACTGGGAGGCATCAGAGAAAACAGCATCACTTGTTTGAATCTGTGAGGCCTCTTGGTGGTTCCCATTAATTCTCCCAAAGATAATTAATGTCAGTGAGATGCTTCTATTTTGAACTCTAATGATGTGCAATTGTCAAATAGTTCTGGTTCTGAAAATGTACTTACTGCATAAAACAGAAAGGTTGGCTCGCACTTCCCTCGGTACTTTTCGAGGACATCAAGACGATCTGCCTCTGCCTAAAGAAAACCACTATCAGCAGCTACCCTGGGTGCAGGGGGTGCAGGGCCCGACTGATGGGTGGGAAACCACACAGGGAACTGAACACCCCCAGGACTGACTTCCCCAGGTGGAGCCCCGATTTGCTCTCATGCTGTTCCTGCTAATCAGAGCTGTCCTATAAAATTGCAGACATGTACTCTCTTGAAGAATCAAATGAGGAGGAAGCAAGAGTATCTCCTGCCCCACCCAGCTACTGTACCAGTCCAAGGGAGCGCTACTGGCTAATGTCCTCCTGCAGCCATGACTGACAACCGAGGTGAAGGTCCTCAGGCACCGACTTCATTGTCTGAGAAACCTGCTACACATGGGCATAAGAGATCCCCCACGCAAGCCCTTCTACAGCACACTCCCTATGGAAGCACCAAGACTGACTGCCAAAGGAAGAATTGCAAAGTCCCTGAAGTCCAACTTCTTGAGTGATTAGTGTAAGTTATATTTTCTCTTGTCTTCACTGCCTATGAACCTCAAACCCATGCAGCATATCAACAGTGTCTCTTGAATACTTCTCTAGAATTTATTCCCATTTCCATACATTCATCCAAATAAATATTTGCTGTAAGTTCCCCTTTATGGAGCAGAGGATGGAAATTCGAAAGTGACATTTCAGTCAACAGTGTTCATGAGCCAAGAAGGAGATGCGGCTGGGGTGGTGGCTCACACCTGTACTCCCAATACTTTGGGATGCTGTGGTGGGAGGATTGCTTGAGCCCGGGAGTTCTAGACCAGCCTGGGTGATATAGTGAGACCTTGCCTCTACAAAAAGTTAAAAAATTAGTGAAGCATGGTGGCATGTGCCTATATAGTCCCAACTAGTTGGGAAGCTGAGGTGGGAGGATCATTTGAGGCTGGGAGGCAAAGGCTGCAGTGGGCCATGATCCCACCACTGCACTCCAGCCTGGGTGACAGGAGAAAGAAAAAAGAAGAGGGAGAATATGCATTTGAGTGATATATATTTCTTCTCTTCATACAGCACCAAGAACTGCTCAAGCCAAGAGTGATATAGGGAGGTGGGGTGGGGAATAGGAACCTTCATAGCTAGAGAAATTAGAAAGTATCATGACAGTATCAACAAAAAGTCCACACTGATTCCTTTTTAATGATCTGGGAAAGGCCACTCTCACACTTCTCCTTCCTGACTCTTTTAAATTTTTAAATTCTTTTTACAATGTTGTATGACTGTTGGATGAGAGAGAATCTTACTAATGCAAAGTGCAGAAGGTCCAGGCCGACCTCGATCCTCATCTTCTGGAAGAGGCTCACCACAGGTTTGCAGGGGCCACACCAGCCTTGATAGACATCAACAACTGTGTGCAACCAAGAAGCAGGAACATTCAGTAGACACCAGCGCCCACCACACCAGGCACAATTTATACCTGTGCATTCTAACCCCCCTCAAATGGACATTCATTTGCAGGGATATCTAATGGTTAAAGGGATTTACTGTCTCATGAGATTATAAGCAAGTATGGAAACACAGCTAGCCCTCATTCTTATGAACTTGGTATACTGAATTCTAAATACAGTATAAGTGTAGCAGAAAATAATTTTCTTAACATGGCTCCTTTATCTTAAGGGTTCTTCAGGCTACATTCAGGGTTAGGCCTAACACAGGGTGGCCCTCAATGATATTGGAATTAGACTGAAACTGTCTATTCTAAAAAAGGAGAGGTCACTCACTGTAGGTGACCCAGCAGCACACAATTGACTTTTATGTAATCCTTGGATAATAAACACAGGTTTGACCTTTTCTTTTGATGAATTAAAAGCCACTTTCTTTGGGTGGAGCAGAGTTTTATTTACTTTAGAAAAATCAACATTTTTCTCCCAGAAAGTGAGCCTGATAGAGAGCTAGAGAGAAACTTGGATACCTTTTTCTTCTTTAGTCCCAATCTATAGTACACGTCAGGGCTGGATGTAGGGGAACCCTCTCATCTGAGTGTTGTGAACCACACGATCTACAGGAAGCTAAGCAAACCAAGCCAACTCCCGTGTACTGGATTTGTGCAGGACCTGCCCCACATGACCATGAAGCGGCAGCAAGGGCTAGATGGTGACATACCAGTGGCCATATTTTAGAGGAGGGATATCTGCCAAAAGGCTTCAACACTCCCAGAGTTCATGCCTGTTCCACACAGGTGAGCATTTCGGTTCAACCGCTAAAGTAGCATAGTCACAGGGAGATCGTGTCAAAATTGCTAATAATTGATTAACTCTGTCAATTTTAATAGCATGCAATTTGTGATTTTACTTATCACAGATTCACATTTCAAAATTTTCCCATCAAATGAGAACTATTAATATAATACAATATAAATTGTCATGATTAAAGTTAGTATAAAGACTGGTGGCACTGTACTAACACTGTTGTGTACTAACCAGGGAAGGAAGGCTTCCCATGAAGAGGTGACTTGCACTGGGCATTGTAGAGAGCCCAGGCTTGGACGGGCAGAGAGGGAGACTGTGGTGCAAAGGATGGGCAGCCAGGCATAGGTGGCAGACTCAGGGACCCCTGGGCAGCCTGCTGGACCAGACCTGCCTGAGGTGGTGTGGTAGGAAGTGGTGGCAGGGCTCACTGGAGGAATCTGGAATGTGGGGCTTGAGGAGCTCTATCCTGAATCACTAGGCAACGAGGATTCACAGTAAGTATTAGAGAGAAGAGGGAGCTAATATCTTGGACTTGCCTGCATCCAGAATTGTAAGAAATAAATTTCTGTTCTTTATATACTACATATCTGTAGTGTCCTGTTACAGTAGCATAAACAGACTAAGCTATTCTGCTTTAGCTGCAAGAGGGCAGGTGCACTTTGCTTTTCTCTAAAAAGCCCAGTGAGATGGATATCATTATTGCACTATCGAGATGAGGAAACTGAAGTTCAAAGAGGTGAAGTCATCGACCTAAGGTAAGAAAGCAAATTCTCAAGCAGTATAGCTTAGTCCATTTATGCTGCTGTAACGGGACACTACAGACTGGGGCAGTTTATAATGAACAGAAACTTATTTCTTATAGTTCTGGAGGCTGGCAAGTCCAAGATCAAGGTGCCAGCAGGTTTGGTTGTCAGATAAGGGCTGCATCCCTCTGGAGGAGAATTATACTGTGTCCTCACATGACGGAAGTCAAGGGCAAGAGGAATAAACTCCTTCCATCAAGCCCTTTTATAAGGGCACTTAATGCCACTCATGAAGGGCACTACTCCCCTTTTAAAGGCCCCACCTCTTAAAACCATTACTTTTGACATTCAGTTTCAACACTGAATTTTGAAGGGGGACACATTTAAACCACAGTACAGCAGAATCAAGTTTTGTTTTATTTTATTTTATTTTATTTTATTTTATTTTATTTTATTTTTGAGATGGAGTCTGGCCCTGTTGCCCAGGCTGGAGTGCAGTGGCCGGATCTCAGCTCACTGCAAGCTCCGCCTCCTGGGTTTATGCCATTCTCCTGACTCAGCCTCCTGAGTAGCTGGGACTACATTAGCTGGGACTACAGGCGCCCACCACCTCGCCCACCTAGTTTTTTGTATTTTTTAGTAGAGACGGAGTTTCACCGTGTTAGCCAGGATGGTCTTGATCTCCTGACCTCGTGATCCTCCCGTCTCGGCCTCCCAAAGTGCTGGGATTACAGGCTTGAGCCACCGCGCCCAGCCAGAATCAAGTTTTAAATCCTGTGTTGCCTGATGCCATAGCCCATGCTCTTTCAACTGCTCCAGGGAAGAAGCAAGATGCATAAATTCAGCAGTGTTCATTGGTTCAGCCAAGTAGCACAATTTTGCAGAATGTGAGAACCCAAGCTGGGTATAGGAGGAATGAGGAAGCCAGACACACGGGTGGCAGAGGGGATAGAATGAAAAGAATGTAGGCAGAATGCTAGGGATGAAAATGAAGACGGTGTGGAAAGGACTTCACCTTTGAGCCTGGCAGAGAAAAAGAACTAGCGAGGGGTGGGGAGAGATTGTTGGAGGGGAAAGGAGAACAAACTCAACTCTAAACAGGCTGGGTTTTCAGTACCAACCAGAAAATCTAAGACAAGTGATCACAAAGGCAACCAGACATCCAAGCAGGAGAGTGGGATTTGGGTTCCACAGCATCCAGGTAGAGGATAAAGTTCTGGGCTTTCCTGAAGACAAGAGTTTCACAATTGACAGATTTTAATTTATTTTTTTATTTCAGCCTACTACAGTTATGTGGGTGAGGGCCAAAAAGGGCATTTGGGTCAAGCTAGGAAAATGTCCCTGAAGACTTAGAGGGCCCTGTACACAGACCCACTGAAAAGGGCAGGTTTAAATCCCAAAGGAAAAAAGCTGGGGCTCAACTCTCTGTGCTGTATTTGTATTGACAGTGCACCTGCCATTGCTACTAGCTTCTCCCTCCCTCTTGGACGCCCTGGCTCTGTGAGGAGTGGCGGGCACAAAGGCACCTTCACAAAGTTATGGAGGAAGCGGGGATGGGGGGGAGGGGGGAGGAAGGAACAGAGAGGAAGTGTTTGATTTGACTCTGAGTGAGAGGAAGCAAAACAGAGAAGCCACATGGAAGGAATGGTAGAGACAAGAAAAAGGTGTGTCTGTGTGTGTGCGTGTGTGTGTGTATGTGTGTGTCTGTGCACGCATGTGTAGGTCTGAAGGGACTTTGGCATGTTGAAAGCAGGTGAAAATGAGCCAGCAGAAGGCAAGGTTTCCAAGATGCTGGTGGTTTACTTTGGAAGCAAATTTCTGCTGGCTGGAGAGAGAGAGAAAAACACATATCTATGTATTTATATGCTCCATAGCTATATATTCCTCTAGACTGCCTGATGAGAAGAAGCAAAGAGGAGGTCCTGCTACCTTCAGTCAACAGAGGCCCTTGAACCATTTAGACCAGGCTTGGCAGAAGGTCAGTGCTCACTGGATGTTAGCTACTATCACATAGGGTGCTTAGCAAGGTGGCTGGCACACGATACATTCTCCAAAAATTAAGGAATGGTGGTTTTTTCACGGTTGTTAAAGAAATGGAAATAATGATTTGTTTCACCTGGAGTCATGTTCCAGTTGCCCAGACAAGACACATGGACAAATGGTTAAGCCTTGGCACCATCAAAAAGACTTTATAATCCCTCAAACAGTAGAGTGTTTGAGGGATTATACTCATACCCACACAACTGGATCAGCATTTATCTAGTACCCAGTCAGCCTCAGTCCCAGGCAAGTCTACTACAGATGTGAGATTAAAAAACCAATGCTGGCCGGGCGTGGTGGCTCACACCTTAATCCCAGCACTTTGGGAGGCCGGGTGGGCAGATCATTTGAGGTCAGGAGTTTGCGATCAGCCTGGCCAAGACGGTGAAACCCCGTCTCTACTGAAAATATAAAAATTAGCTGGGTGTGATAGAATGTGCCTGTAATCCCATCTACTTGGGAGGCTGAGGCAGAAGAATCACTTGAACCCCAGAGACGGAGGTTGCAGTGAGCCAAGATTGCACCACTGCACTTCAACCTGGGTGACTCAGTCTCAAAAAAAGAAAGAAAAAGCCAATGCCGTTGTGTTTAGAGTCTAGGAGAAAAGCCATGATGGTCTTTCCCTACAGGGGCCACAGCACGTGGGGTGTGTGCTGGAGGGATTGAGACAGAGACTCACCCCAAGTGCCCTAGGAGCTCCCAGGAGGGACGTGACCACACAGAGGTTCCAGAAAGATTTCATATGAGGAAGCTAATTTTGCACTGGGTCGGGGAATAAGAAAGATTTCTACAGTTGGTGATGGGCCATGATATCCCATCTGGCTTGAATGGGCTTAAATGCTGACGTCATTTGGTGGAGGGGGTGGTAATGGGCAAGGCTAAGATCAGATACAAGCACACTGAGCAGGTATATTCACAGAAAAACTGAGCAGGCACACAGAGTAATAGAGCACAGAGATATCTGCAGTGAATGAGAACGAGAAGTAAAGAGTGGGTGACAGCAGGTGGTAGGCAGCCTCTCAGATGTCTCTAACGATCCCCACCTCCTGGTCCTCATGTACTTGTGTAACCCCCTGCCCTGGAGTGTGGGCTGGACCTAGTGACCAGCTTCTAATGAGCAGAGTATGGCAAAAGCAATGGGATATCACTCTCAAGATTAGGCTAACAAAAGGCTGTGACTTCCAACTTGTACCCTCTCTTAGAGCTCTGTCCTGGGGGAAGCAAGTTACCAGGTTTGTGAGTAGCCTCATGGAGAAATCAATGGCAAGAAGTTAATGTCTCTGGCCAACAGCCAGTGAGGACTTGAATCCTTCCTACCAACAGCCTCATGAGTGAGCTTGGAAGTGGATCTTCTTAGGTCTGCCAGTAGCCACACAAAAGAGCTTGGAAGCAGATCTGCTCCTCGTTGAGCCTTGAGATCCCGTCTGACACCTTAACTACCATGGTGAGACACTCTGAGCCAGAGCTAGCCAACTAAGCTGTACCTGAACTCCTGACCCACAGAAACTGGGATAATCAATGTTTGTTGTTTTAAACCACTAAGTTTCTGGGTAAGTTGCTAAGCAGCAACAAATAACTGGTGCCAGGAGGATGGGGATGAGGAGGCCCATAGACAGTGGCCTGCTGTTTCCTAATGACTGCAGTCCCAGGTTCAAGTCCCAGTGATGCCTGGCTCGCCTTCCATCCTTTGAGTTCCAAGAGATCCCCGTATTCCCTCCAATGCATTCTCCTTTAGTGCCTGAGGTAATTAGAAGAGGTTTCCTGTTACTTTTAACACCAAACAACCCTGAGTACTGACTCCTTTCCTGAACTGAATTTACTGATGTTCAAGCCACACACACACACACACACACACACACACACACACACACATCATCTGTTTTTTTATGAGGTTCAAGGTAATAGGAAAGTAATGTTCATTGCAGCCCTTTTCTTCATGGTTCATCACACCATTTAATAATTTAGAAAAGAATGGATCTAAAAAGTTATTTTACTTTGAATTACCAGTTAGTCCTTTGGAACTGAGCATTTCCTCCCAAAGCTCTTGGGTGCTGATGTTGACCTAAAGCCAAAGAGGATCAAATGCTGTATTACTGAGGGCTCAGGCAGGGAAACAATTCAATCTATTTGCTCTAGATTTCTATCTTTCTATCTCTGAAATACTTACAAGTACAGTTCAAATTATCCTCTCCCCCGTCTTCTTTTCTCCTTCCTTTTCTCACTCCTTCCCTACCCAGAAAAAAACACTATCCTAAGAATAATGTGTACTAGTCTCAGGCATTTAAAAAATAATTTTACATGTTATTTGTCCAGGAACAATATATAAGTTGTTTTTGTGCCCTTAAAATGTACATAAATGTATCAAACTGTAGGTCTCATTTTGAAATTTGTGTTTTCACTTAGTATCAGAATTAAGTTGAATTTATTGCCATTCACTCACATTTTTTTTCTTATCCACAGAGTTCTGATTTTATAAATATAAAATACAAGGAAAAATACATATTATCCCTCTTCATTAACGTAAAAATTTCTTTTTTTTTTTGAGATGGAGTCTGGCTCTGTCACCCAGGCTGGAGTGCAGAGGCTCAATCTCAGCTCACTGCAACCTCTGCCTCCCAGGTTCAAGCGATTCTTATGCTTCAGCCTCCTGAGTAGCTGGGATTACAGGCACGTACCACCACACCTGGCCATTTTTGTATTTTTAGTTGAGACCGGGTTGGACCATGTTGTCCAGGCTGGTCTCGAACTCCTGACCTCAAGTGATCTGCCCACCTCAGCCTCCCAAAGTGCTGGGATTACAGGCATGAGCCACAATGCCTGGCCAATAGTAAACATTTCTGTATAGTGTTTTTTACTGTGAAATAATTTCAAACTTACAGAAAGTGTGCAAGTACAGTATAAAGATTTAGGGTTTTTTTTTTTTTTAGGTATTTGGAAGTAAATTACAGCTTGTTATCTCATTACTCCTGAATATATTATTCCTATGTAACACAATACAATAATCAAAATCAGGGGAAAAAAACACTGACATATTGTGAACATTTAATCCTTAGATAGAGTACAACTTTTCCTGTTTATCCCATAATGTCCTGAGTAGCAAAGGAGCTAATCAGAAACGTGTGCTAGATTTATTTGTCAAGTCTCTTTAGTCTGGAATAGTTCTTTAGTCTTTCTCTTCTTTTCACAATGTTGACACTTTGGAAAATGACATTCCAGGTATTTTGTAGAGTGTCCCTCAGTTGGGGCATATGTGATGTTTCCTCCTGATTGGATTCAGGCTGTGCATGTTTGGACTGGTTGAAATTGGCTGGACTGGTTGGAGTGTTGGAGAAGCTGAGGATCATTCCTCTCACTACTGCCTAGCAGGTGAGACACAATTTCCATCTGCCTATTACTGATGTTCACTTTGATCACTGGATTAACATGGTCTGCCAGGCCTATTGTCTGTAAAATTATTCCCTTTTTCTTTGTAATTAACATATTTTTGTGGTGAGCTACTTTGAAATGATATAAATTAAAAGACCACACAAATTACTACTGGGTTTTTTTGTTTGTTTTTTGAGATGGAGTCTCACTCTGTCACCCAGGCTGGAGTGCAGTGGCATGATCATGGCTCACTGCAACCTCTGCCTCCTGGGTTCAAGCGATTCTCCTGCCTCAGCCTCCCAAGTAGCTGGGATTATAGGTGCCCGCTACCACACCCGGCTAATTTTTTATAGTTTTAATAGAGACAGGGCTTCACCATGTTGGCCAGGCTGGTTGTGAACTCCTGACCTCAAGTGATCCGCCTGTCTCGGCCTTCCAAAGTGCTGGGATTACAGGCATGAGCCAGCACGCCTGGCCTACTATTGTTCTTGATACAGGTATGCCAAGGTCTATGTCCCTTTTAAAAAGATAGGATGCATTATTGGCAATAAGGGCAAGAAACACGTAACACCTGCTAATCCTCTATTAAAAGCCCCTTTTTTGGCCGAACGTGGTGGCTCATGCCTGTAGTCCCAACACTTTGGGAAGCCAGAAGTTTGAGGCCTGACTGGCCAACATGGTGAAACCCTGCCTCTACTAAAAAAAAAAAAAAAATACAAAAGTTGGCCGGGCGTGGTGGCGCATACCTGTTTTCCCAGCTACTCAGGAGGCTGAGACATGAGAATTGGTGAACCTGGGAGGTGGAGGTTGAAGTGAGATGAGATCGTGCCACTGCATTCCAGCCTGGGCGACAGGACAGAATGAGAATGTCTCAAAAAAAAAAAAAAAAGAAAGTCTCTCTTTTAAGGAAGCATACTCCTTACTTTTCTTGTTTCAATGAAAAGTAGAAGAAAAACCCAGAAGAGTCTTCTTGATGCCTTAAATGAAGTAAGAGAGCTGGACTGATAGAACCTTGGGCCCACAACTACAGTCCTGAGGATAGTGATAGAAGCGTTCAGAAGGACCCCCCGCCCCTACCCAGAGGCTCAGACTTAAGTCACCAGCAACTCTCTGTGGCCCACCCCTGTCACGGAGTGAGTCCCACCAGCTCTGGGGCCAGGACTCTGGGCAGTTGAAGAATCTCAGCCCTGGGAGCCAGGCAAGAGCGAAACGGTGTGGGAACTATCCGGACTTCACTAAGCCTTGCATTTGGTAGGGAATGAATGGGGAATGTGTGGCACCTTTTACCCAGACTGTCCCTTGATGTCCTGTGATTTCTGTCTGTCTCAGTTATAAACGGAACCCCGAATAACCTTGCTGAGAGAGAGGACAGGGTTCCTGGGTTGGCCGACTTTAGGCACTGCTTTCAAGGGGTTTACCTTATAGAGAGGTGACCTTTACACAGATGCCTCAGTGTAAGAGGGGAGGGAGGCCACTCCCTCAGCAGGAGGGAGCACTTACTTTGAGTACTGCATTGTACTCAGAGCTCTGAGTAATACACATGAAAAAATAACAACATTGCTAACAAAAGTTATTACTGCCATAGGAGATCTAGGGCATCAACACATGAAATGACCATAATAAGGGGCAATAACATTAGAGACACCACAGACCGCATCAGACCAGCCAGGAAGTGTCTAAAGGAGTCTCATCACAGCTCTGCAGGCGTTAAAGGACAGGTATTATCCCTCCTGTCTATGTAAAAGATACGGAGGCCAGAGGGTTGAGGAAATGAGTCACACAGCTATGAATGGTAGGACCAGTTGCTCAGAATTTACTTCAACCAGAACATTCATATATGAAGCACTTTCTGACTCTAGAATCCTAGAATATCAAGGCTGGAAGAAGGCCCTTAGGGATAATTCACACAACATCCTCATTCCATAGATGGGCAAGCTATGGCCCAGAGAGGGTATGTGATGTAGTCAAAGACACAGTTGGCTATAGAGGACACAAGAACTACATCAGGCCTTCTGACTTCCAGTCTAAAAATCCCACCCCACCCCCCACCCCTCCCACCCCCAGCATGGGGTACCCTTAGAATGATGCTGCTTTCCCCTTTCCTCTTTTTTAAACCACTAGACTTTTGAAATCCACATGCAAACTGTCCTACCGAGGACAATGAGAGAAAAACCAGATGTCTCAAAATCGCTAAAGCTCTATTATCTAGGAGGCGCTGTAGCCTTAGTATGCATCTTACTGGGACCAGCTGATGATGAGACATTTTAAAGTTTGTTTTAAAATGTTCCCGTGTTACAGATCATCCAGATGATCTCCTTATGACAAAGCACTCTCTCCCAATTCCAGGGTCTGTTCCTGCATGTTTTTACCATCACTTCAGAATCAACCACTGTTTATTGTCCAGAACCAAGAAAAAGAGCAGTTGCTGGCTTCTGAATTCATTTGTCCCACATGCAAATGAAGTAAGGTACTCTATATAACAAATGCCCAGCACATAATATATCTCAAAACATATTTGTTAATAAGTGAAATTTGATGAGAACAGTGGTGGGAAAACTGGGTCTCCACAGAGCACACAGTTACAGACTCATGCCCAAAGTCAAAAGAACCTATACTGTATTCTCTGTGCAAGCTGCAGTTATATTTCAACAACAGTAACAAAATAACGGTCACATCGAGTTATGTTGATTCATATTTTCTTGGTTTGTAGTTTTATTTAATGCATGTTTAGGTTTTATGGTTGTATACGCACTATAAATATAAACAGCTTCTACTCAGTTTTGTTTGCATTAATTTTGTTTGCATAAAATTTGTCATCACTGGGGTTCCAAGATAAGTTTTGGCCCTTTAAGACGGAAGGGTACATCACTCAAGTTTGGGAACACTGTCACATACTGCTAGCAAACAAAATGTCACTTTTATACTACAACCCCGCTCCAATCACCCTCCTCTTCCCCGAGCCCAACCCAGAGCTGGAAGCTAGCGCCCCTTGAGGCTTACCTGCAGGGCAATTTCCTTCTTCCTGCTGCCCATGGCTCTGCAAAGAAGACGAAGCCCTGTTACCGCGGCCGTGGGCCGTTCCCCCGCAGCCTCGCGACAAACCGCTGCGTGGATCAGCAAGCCCAGAGCCTCCTTCAGATAAGCCCCCCTCCTATGGCCCTCGGCCCCTTTTTAAGATGCTTCTAACTGGCGGCAAATCAACACACACACAAAGTGAACACCCCACGAGGAAGCGGAGCCTGCAGTCCGCGGGCTCGTGGCTCGCCGGGCGGTTTTCTGGGGATCTGCAAAGCCCCCTCCCCACCCCGGAGCCGGCCAGGGGGCTCCAGCAGAGGCCGGAGTCAGTGCGCGGGGCACAGTGCAGCCTGCCGGGCACGGGGTCTCCAGTCGAGGAATTCGAACCAAAAACCGACATGGGACCCTGTCATCCCTGCTGTTCTTATGGATTACTGGGAAACTGAGCCACTGCGAACGACAGGTACACGATCTTCGACGCGCCCGGAGTCACCAACCGAGTCTGCAGCGACCTAGCCGCGGTCGTCATGGCAACCTGGCCCCCCTGCCAGGCCGGCCAGGAAAGCCGGCGGACACGTAAGCCACGCCCACTCTGGGCCCAACGCAGTCTCTTCGCGGAGACTCTGAACCCAGCCAGCGAGAGGCAGGAGGGAGTCCCGCCCCTTGCCCTCCATATCGGACTATGGGAACCCACTCATTGGCTGCAGCGTTTGTCAGCGTCTGGAGGCTTTGAACCCACCAGGCAAAGACCCAGTGCATCTGTGCGTTGCACAGTCGCATCTGTGAATCCCTGCGTCCCTCCTGCCCCGCCTGCCAAGACTGCTGTGCAGCTTTTCTACCGTCACATACCGGTAAAATGTGTGCAAGGTAGGGGGCGTCTCCAGATTTTAAGGGGTCTGCAAGCGTTCTCTTTAAGACAAAGAATATGAAATTACAAATTCAAAATTAGATATGAAAGTCAACTGAGACACATACAAAACACTTACAAACATTGTAGATATTAATCCAACTCTATCAATAACCACTTTAAATGTGAATAACCTGATTACACCAATTAAAAGAGAGATTGTCAGAGTGGATTTCAAAAAGAAACAAAGCCCAGTTGTGTGTTATCCACAAGAAAATACATTAAAAGCAAAAAAATAGAGATAGCTATACCAGGCTGACACTAACTAAAAAAATAGCTGAAGTAGCTATGTTAATTTCAAGAAAAGCAGACTTCAGAACAAGGAAATTTATCAAGTATAAACAGGGACATTACATAAAGGTAAAGGGATCAATTATTTGGGAAGACATAACAATACTTAACATGTATGTACTTAAAAACAGAGCACCGAAATATGTGAGGCCAAAAAAAGATAAAACTGCAAGGAAAAATAGGTAAACTCACTATTATAATAGAATATTTTAATACCATTTTAAAAATACCATTAAAATATTTTAATACCATTTTAATACATCCAGCAGGCAGCAAATGAGCAAGGATATAGTTGAACTGAAAAAATCAATCAAATTGATCTAATTGACATTTATACAATACTTAATTCAACAACAGCAGAATATAGATTCTTTCTCAAGCTCACATGGAACATTCACTGAGATAGACTACAATCTAGGCCATAAAACATAGCTTAACAAATTTAAAAGGATAGAACAAAGTATGTTCTCTGACTACAATGGAATTAAACTAGGAATCAATCACAGCTGATGAAAGAAATCTCGAAGATTTAAATAGATGAAGAAATATTCCATGTTCATGGATAGGAAGAATTCATATTGTTAAGATATGAATTCTTCCCAAGTGAAGCATACACCAAATGATTTCCATCCAGGGAGTGCTGATACCCTGCTTAGCCATAAGGTACCCAGCAACCCTCTGTGAAGTACAGGGCGATGGATATACTGAAGACTGAACATCTTCCTACCTGTCATCCTGCCTTCTCCCACTTCAGCTCTGAATCCACCTACTCTTTTCTTGCATTCAGTCCCATGGCAATATTCAGTTCCATGATAATATTGCTCAGAGCCACAGTCACTCCTTAAGACACTGCATTGCAAACTGAGTTGACTAGATGCAAATCATGTTCATTGCCACAAGGTGGTGGTTGTTCAAGCTCTTGAATGTGTGGAATCTCCCTTAGAATTTAGTTTCCAAAATAAAATTCAAATCAGATGCTAAACTCCTCCTGCCAGTGCACGGAAAGATAGTGACATTTATTCTTTCTGAAAGAGTTAAATTTCTTACCATGTGGTCTCTATTACAAAATGTACTCACATCTTTGCTAGGCTAGACCTCAGAAACAAATTTAGGTAAACCACATGTCCCCAGTTTGCCGGGACACCCCCACTTTTCACCTGTTGTCCCCTGCAATTATTAATAGCAACCCCTCTCACTTTCAAAAGTGTACAGTTTGGGTTGGGTGCAGTAGCTCACGCCTGTAATCCCAGCACTCTGGGAGGCCGAGGCAGGTGTATCACTTGAGGTCAGGAGTTCGAGACCAGCCTGGCCAACATGGTGAAACCCTGTCTCTACTAAAAAAAATATCAAATAGCCGGGCATGGTGTTGTATGCCTATAATCCCAGCTACTTGGGAAGCTGAGGCAGGAGAATTGCTTGAACCCAGAACACGGAGGTTGCAGTGAGCCAAGATCATGCCACTGCACTCCAGCCTGGGCGACAGAACAAGACTCCATCTCAAAGAAAAAAAAATGTACAATTTGGACAACATGGAACCTCATCAGTTTTTTCCCAGATGAATCACCTTGGGTCACTCCTGCTTTTTAATAAAACTTCCATCTTTTACATGTTTTGTGACATAGGTCAGTGGGTTTTTTTGTTTTGTTTTATTTTTTTTCTGTTTTATTTGTTGTTGTTGTTTTTTGAGACAGAGTCTCGCTCTGTCGCCTAGGCTGGAGTGTGGTGGCGCGATGGCTCGGCTCACTGCAACCTCTGCCTCCCGAGTTCAAGCAATTCTCCTGCCCCAGCCTCCCGAGTAGCTGGGACTACAGGCATGTGCCACTACGCATAGCTAATTTTTGTATTTTTAGTAGAGATGAGGTTTCACCATGTTGGTTGGCCAGAATGGTCTCCATCTCTTGACCTCATGATCCACCTGCCTCGGCCTCCCAAAGTGCTGGGATTACAGGCATGAGCCACCGCTCCCAGCTGGGTCAATGTTTTTATTTATTATCCAAAAGTCAGATTTTTTTCCAAATGTATCTATTTTTAATCAGCCCTTCCCTCAGTGATGTACTTTTTTGTTTTATTTTAATGCAAAACCTGCTAACTTTAAGGGCTACTGAGATGTTTTAGAGTTCGAAAGATTAAAAACCAAACTCCTCCTCCAGCAACTCATGTTTATTGCCACAAGGTGGTGGTTTACTCAAAGGAAACCCTTCTGAGACCCAAATTGGACACTAGGAGCATTTTCTTTATCAAAATACTTCAGAACTGATGTGACTCTGTAAAACAAGAATGACCCTTCTCACTTTAAGAGGAAATCATAGACCAAAGCAGGCTGTATTTCCTCAGATACCTTCCCGTTTTTCATCGTAGAAGATAAGAATGTATATACACATCTTCGTCTAACCTGACTCCTCTCTCCTTCCGGATGTAATGTCTTCTTTTTTCCACAAGTAACAGCAGGTCCCTCCTGTACCTTGCTCTGAGGAAGGCAGCCGGGAGTGGTAGAACTGGGAGCTTTAGGGTCAGACAGATGTGGGCTGGATCACAGGTACACCTACTACCTGTCTAAGCTTGGGTGAAGCTACTTCAGTTTATTCAGTCAGTCTTAGTTTCCTCATCTTTAATTTTTTTTTTTTTTTTTTTAAGAAATGGGGTCTTGTTATGTTGCCAGGTGCCTGGAACTCCTGTGTTCAAGCAGTCCTCCCACTTCAGCCTCCCAAGCAGCTGGGACTACAGGTGCCCACCACCATGCCCAGCTTGTTTCCTCATCTTTAAATAGGGAAATAAGACCTACCTTTCAGGAATGTTGTGGAGAGAGGTAATGTGTTTCAAAATTTCTTGACATTAAAACCAGTATTATTGTTGTTCTTGTAAAGGTATCATGCACCCTTTCCACAGTATAGAAACGTGTTGGGTAGCAGCTTCCCAGTCAAGGATCACAAGCCATAAGTCCCCAGGAGGTTCATCCAAGTTGTTGTGTGGATCAATATTTTAATTCCTTTTTATTACTTTGTATTCCATGGTCTCAGTAGATCACCGTTTGTTTCAAATTAATATTTGAGTGAGATATGAGGTTTTTTATTTCCCCATACAGATTTCTGGTTGCATAAGCACCATTTGTTGAGAAGACTTTCCTTTTCTTCACTGGATTGATTTGATGTCTCTGTCAAAAACCAATTGGTCATATAAATGTGAGTTTCCTTCAGGATTCTCTAGTCCATTCCGCTGATCTAGTTGACCATCCTTATACCAGTACTTGATTACTAGTTGTATAGTAAGTCTCAAAATCAGGTAATCTAAGTCATCCAGCCTTGCTTTTCTTTTTCAAAATTTATTTGTCTATTTTAAGTTATTTATAAGTCTATTTTAAGTTGTTTACTTTCATACAAATCCTAGAGTCAATCTGTTAATATGTCTTTAAAAATCCTCTTGGAAATTTAAATTGCATTAAACCTAAAGACTGACTTAGGAAGAATTGACATCTTAATAATGTGTAGTCTTCCAGTCCATAAACAGGATGTGTGTTCCATTTATTCTTTAACTTTAGCAATGTTTTATAGTTGTTGAACCAATCTTGCAAGTCATTTGTATTTATTAATGCTATTATTAATGAAATTGACTTTCAAAATTTATTACCAATTTTGCGCTGCCAGTACATAGAAATACACCTGATTTTTTTATATTGACTTTGTATTCTGAGATCTTGCTAAACTCACTTAATAGTGCTAGTAGTTTCTTTGTTGATTGTGAAGGTAACTGTGAAAACACAAGATAGTGAGCCATAAAATGGAAGCAGCCACTCTGAGCCTACCAACCTGCTTTGGACTGTGTTGCAGTTTCTTCATGTCGTAGTAGTCACTGAAGGTTACAATCAAACTCCTCATCTGCATTGTGAGTCCCTGTGGGGCAGGTTGTCCCTGCTACTTCCTAGTGAATCTTTTATGATGAACCTCAGGTTTCCGTCATGACCTGAACGAATGAGCCCTATGCTGCCCACCATTCATGCTTAGTGAGAAGTCAGAGGAGATGACAAGGAGACTTCTACATGTTGTAAAGGAATCTGACCATAGGTCCCTCCTGTTGACAGATGTTTCTCCATGGGTCTCTCATGTTTCTGCATATTTTTCAAGCAGAGGCACTGACTGCTTTATTCCCAGCTACCTTTTCAGGAATGTTTATGTAGTGAACAACGTTGAAAGATAGAGGTAGTACCTCCTTCTAAAGCAAAGGAAAGGTTTGTTTACAGCCTTGGAAGTTAGAGATAGTGTCTCCTTCTGTAGAAAGCAGACTTAACTCTTCAGTGTAAAAGCTTTGGTTTCTTGAAGCTAGGATTCTTCTCCTGTAACACAACCTGCTGCATGTGCAGGTGTCACCTGGCCCTCTCTGCATTGTCCTATGGGAATCAGTTCAGGA